CCCCAAAACCCCAAAACCCCAAAACCCCAAAACCCCAAAACCCCGTGATTTCAATAAAATAATCATTGTAAATAAATATTTAGATAGATTAAAATCATGTTTCTGATTCTTCAAGAGCGGAATTCATAATCTCAAGCATTTCTTAGAAATCAGGAATAAACTCTGGCGATGGAGCAACTACACCTTTTATTTTGCATTCAATAATCAAATCATCTAATTAGTCTGCCTATTCATCCTAGTTTAAGAAGCTCAATTTCTTAAGGGAAGAGGCATTGCTATTCTTTTTCCTTCTCAAGCTACTCATCAAATTGTTAGAAGACTTTCTTGATTTCAATACTGAATTTCTAGACTAGTTGCGAGTAATTGATAGTGTGTTATTGCTTTGTTCACCTTCGCTGTTACTTGATTTTTCCTCCTCCTATATTGATGAATCTTTCTGAGTAGTTGTTTAATCTATACTAATGTTTTTGAGACTTAAGAAGTTAATGGTGCTTATATCATTGTTGATGGAATCTTGAAGATTAATGATGGTCATCCTTCTGAACTAACTTATTAGAGATGCTTTGACTATACTTTTGTTTTTGTTTTTATTTGAAGACGAGGAAATTAAATCCATAATATTCTTTTATACTATTCCTTTGATCTTCTTGATTTCCTTTTACTGAGTCCTTCTCATTACTTAGTGCACAGATAAGTTAAACAAGCATTTCGAAGCTATCTTCACTCTAACATCAGTAAATTTATTTACCAGTGTTTAAAAGTTTCTTGCTTGATGATAATATTAGTTTTCCCTTGCCCTCAAAAACTTCTTAATAGCATTTTCTTTAGCAGCTTCTGTAATATTTGAAAACCTATGGCCGTTAAAGCTTTTCAAAATCGAAGAATTTTTATTTTTCTTAATGAAGTAGCATAAATCAGAAATTTAATTCCAGTATTCATTCAAGACTATATATTTATGCTTTCTCCTTGATACTGTTTATAAAAATCTATTCTTAAGTTTTTCAGATGTCTTATAAAAAGTTTTCATCTTGTTAAGTAAGTGTAATACTCCCAAATTAATTACACAAAAGTCCTAAACTAGTTTCTGACTTCTTTCGAGAGGTCTTGTATCTAGAACTTAATTTAGCATTAGGAAACTAAATTTTGCATATTTTAGATGGATTGGTTAAATTGTTATCATTGGATTTTGCCTTCCGTTAAATTTACGAAGATATCTCCTAAAATGCCTTTAAATTCTCCTAGCACAGAAGAATTGTCTCAATTCTTTGATGAAAATGCTTTTAAACTTATCAAATCTATTATTGAGCTGTGTCATAGCCAATTAAGTTATTTGTAAAATTATCCAGTGCTTGAGAAAATCTTTTTTTCTTTACTTTGCTTGTAGGATCTATACAACTTCTCTTTGGACGTTTCTTTTAATTTCATGTCTGTGGTGCTTTAAAATCAGTAGCTAATGCTGCTATTTATCATGAAGTTCCTTTCTTTAAATTGCTTAATTTCTTTTATCTTTTTAAGAGTTAAAGTATTGCTCCTTTTATTGGTCTTTCTCATTTGAACTTAGCATTATATTGCTAATAAATTTGCGATATTTGAGTTTCTTTTCATCATCTTCTCTCTTTTTCCTCTCTTTGATGAGGGTATTTAGTTGTTCTAGAAAATCAGATCTCTTGGCATGATTATTTCTTAAATCCTCTATGATCTCTTGCATCGACATCTTTTTAGTTGCAAAAAATAACTCTAATTTTTCTTAAGTTGGATTTGTTGATGTGATCTTGATTGGTCTCTCTAATTTTAATTATTGAATAAATTTACTTTTTTTATTGTCTAACTTAAGTGTAATTGTGCCCTTTGTTTCAGAATGAGCATGTACTGCGACATATACCCAATCTGATCTCTGCTTCTATTTTGGATCGGGTTCAAACTTCCCTTTGTTTTTCTAAATTTTTAACATTTATAATTTTACATCTAGGATTAAAGAAGCAGAGCTTTTATTAGGCTTTTTGCTGACATCACTCACGTACAGCACTGTCTTTCCATACAACTTGTTCTGAGCTATCTTCACGGCTTGCTTTGGATTAAAATCTGGATCATTAACAAAGCTAAAATATGCCACATCTCCATCTGTCAAATCAAAGAAACCTGGAATTCCATTCTCCAAAATACTTATTCCTTCATCATTAGTTCTTAGTATTGAATTTAGTTTCACAAATACTTTCTAAAATTCCAAATATAGTTATGTTGCTTCCTCTTCTCCCTGATCATATTCTTTGACATGCTCTTTGAATTTTTATTTAGGCATTTATATAATGATATTACTCACTTTTTCATTCTCTCTCTTTGTATATGGGCTTAAATATTCTGTCAAATCTAAATAATCATCTGGCTTAAATTATGATTGAGATGAATTTTAATCATTGATCTGTAAATCTATAGTCTTTTTAGGAGATTTGAGAGCATCTCTTGCATCCTAAATTGTTCTGTTTTAATCATTTGTTATTGTTAATTATTAGTATCTGCCTGTTCCCGCTGATTTTTGATACATCGACTAAACAGTTTCATTGTGATTCCTAGACTAGTGCTTAAATCTCATAATTAATTTGGGGACAATCTTTTAATTGTTATAGTCATCTATCTGTGTCTTATTTACACTCTCCACATTTGTCTTTTGCGGTAAAAATCTCCTTTAAATTTAGACATCATATGGACTATAACTGGTTTTCCTTATATTAAAGTTGATTGCTGGTTTGTGATTTAAGACACTGTTTATCACCTCTTGCTTGTAAACTTCCCCTTGAAGAGAATCTAACTAGTTTAGATTCCTTTTCTTTGCATCTTTTGCAGGTTTATCTAAGAAATTTGATCTATAAGAAATGCTAGGAATTGCTGTGGTATTTTAATCATCAGTGGTGCTCTGCTATTTTATTAAATCTTGAATGTTTTTTAACTTTAACTAAGTTACATTCCTTATCATTTTATGCTAAGTAATGCTGTCTCTTCTAGATTGAGTGGATAAAGGAACAAGTCTTCCCTATGACTAACTTCTATCAAGTAATTTTTATTAGCTCATAGTTCTTTTACTAAGATAGCTAGAACTAATTACATTTCTAACTATTTTTTTGTCCTTAAGGTTAAGTTATAATGATGTTTCCTTAATTTCCATTAAAATTTAATTACATCTATTATAGACTTTATTCTTAATTATGGGGTTTTGGGGTTTTGGGGTTTTGGGG